TGTTCTGTAATGTGGACACAAACTATATGATAGCAATCAGGAAGGCTCTTCATTTAAATAAGTATTGGCAACCCTTCATAAAGGATTAATACTATCTCTGCCAATGGTTAGAAACCAAATTTCTTTTAACGCATACTCTACATGTTGTCTTTTCTTTCTTGCCAATTTAAAGCTTGCTTAAAAAAAGACAATCTTGGCTATAAAAGCAATGTTTTGGAATGTGCTCCAATATGATTGATCTGTCCTTGTTCTTTTGGCAACTTAGCTAAAGTACTTTCGTCAAATTTTATGATTTTATATGATTTGAAATAATAAAGCATGACAGGCCAAAATTGATGACCTTAGAGAATTCTGTCTGACTAAATACCATAACTATATTACAAACTTTAATTGTGCAATTATTTTTTCAGTTTTCCTAGCTGTTTTTGCAATTTAAGCATTCTTTAAGAGACATGCTTCTTCCCATCTGTGCTTTCATTTATATTTACTTTCTTCAAGAATACATGCCAGCCAAAGTCTTTCAGAAAAAATAGGAAGTTTCATGAAAAAATCCCATGAAGATTCACTGAAATGCTATCAACTAACTAGTCCTTCTTTCAAATCTGAATGTATTAATACCTCTTTCCCTCTGCCCTGCAATTTCCTTAAGATAGGATTCATTGATTGACTTACTCCCTCAAAAGTAGAATTTCTGAAAGAAGATGCATCAGTAACAGTCAGCTATTAGGTTTTGACAATTACTTTGTCCAAAATAACCATCATGTAATCAAGGTTAACATATATCAACACAAGCCTTATACACCAGCTGTTAATCGAATTAAAGAGATTAAAAATTGTCTTCCCATAACTAGCCATGTGGCAAAGGAGAAATCTGGCAAATAATCCCTGCTGCACCTTCCACATCTGAGCAAAATATTGGAGAAGACAGACATGCTGTTCAAACCAAACTGCCAAACTTCCCGACTCATGGATGGGGACTGAAGCATTTCATTCCTGTGCCCTTCCCTCTTGTAAAGGACCCGAGCTATTCTCCCCTCTTCAGAAATTCTGAGTGTGCTACTGCTTATAAAGGAAGGAGGCTCCTTGGCAGGAGCTGATGAATAGTACTCGACAAAGAAGTGTGCCCCAAAGAACTGCAGTCTTGCAAAATGCCTGCTAATCCTCAGTGTTGTCGATGAAGCTCAGCCTTGGCTGCCTTAACTGGAGCCTGTATTGAGAAAGTTCTTCCACCTCCCTCTCAGGGAAACACAAGGGCCTCCTTTTCCGGGAGTATGCAATGGGAATATGTTCTGCTCTCGCTAAGGTCAGTGGGAGATGATGGGCATTTTGGATGAAAGTAATTCTTTTATTCATCTTCAAAGAAAGACGAAAGTAAGCACCTGCCACTAAAAAAAAAAAAATTACAAAATGTAGTTGTAAAAAGTCCTTTCCACAATTTTGCATTGTATGATGAAGAGAGAAGGGAATATAAGCAAAGAGAGATGAGTCCATGTCTTGGTTCAGGTCAGGAAAAGAGATTTTATGATGTGTACATGTAGAGAATGCACAGAAGTGGGACAGGATTAGTGAATATGAAGGAAAGAACAGAGAGGTTTATGTAATCATGCTTTGTAGGATTTTTAGGCAAAAAAAACCCCACAAGAAGCTCCAAAGCCACTTGATAGATCAATATCATTTTGATGCTTCATGTTGCTCTAAATAAACATAAATAAACCAGATCATGAAACTGGCTTTAAATCTTAAAAATGTTTGATGTTCATATTTCATGCTTTCAAGTAAGCACAAATACTATGTTCCCTAAGTTACTGATTTAATATTTTAAGTTGAAAAATGGATGTGAAGACAAACTGTTAAACTGGAGACAAAAGAATACTTCAATGGTTTAGAATACATCACATGAATGAGATAGGAAAGAGGTTAGATACTTGGAGATAGGCTTATACTTACACATATTCAGATAAGATAAATTATGAAAATGCAGATCTGTGTGTCCAAACAGAACTGCTTTCTAAGGTTGCAAGCACAGTAACAAGGGGTATAAAAATCTGGCAACCAGAACCACCAGATGCCTCAAATTGTAATCGCAGGTTTTGTGTACTGTAATCAGAGCAACCTTACAGCTGGGTGTTTGAACTGGGCAATTACATTAGTCTACCGTAAAATGTTTACCTTACCTTTAAGCCCAGAATTAACTCATTTTCTAGTAGTCTGCTTTGGAATAACTCAGTGATAACATTTTCAAAGAAGTCATGCAGTTCTGTAATCCTATTTGCAGAGATGACTTTGTTCAGATTCTCATTCTGATCCCTCTCTAGTGAACAAGGAACCAACCTTGAAGAATGAGGTTTAATATCCACAATTACTTTATGAAAGAAACAAAGCTCTTGATCAGTCTTTCTTTGTTCATCTAGTCACTGCCTTCTTTCTTTTTTTTTTGTGGGCCTTTTTCTAAATTAAAGAAGATGCAATATTTTCAATGCTTTCTCATATGGTAGCTCTCTGATACCTGAGATGTCTCACTTTTTTTTTTTCTCTGTATGTCTTTTTTTTTAACCCCATGTCCCTTCTAACTGCAGATGTGCATTGAGTCTGCCAGGCGAGGCCATATCCTCAATCTTTATAAAAGCATTACAATACTTGACTGCGGTACTGAGGCAAATAAAATGTGTTCTGGAGATCTCCCTTCATTTTCTTTTAATAGAGGTGCATTTGAGCAAAGGTCTTTTCCAAGTTGTCTATAGTGATGTCCAGTTCTCCAGCTTCAGTTGCTAAAGTTAATTTGGACTCATATAGATTGTTTAATCCCCAGATTTCTAGCCTTTTCAGAGGGACATATATTAATTGTTGTTCTTGGTCTTCATGGAGCAGCATCTAACTTTAGTGAAAATTTACTTATTTTTATCTATATAAAAGCCTTCAGAATTTTGCACATCTCCTTGGACTATGGTGCACTAAAAACCATCTTGCACCGCTTTTTAAATTAAATTATCACTATACTCAGACATCTCATAGCTTAATCATCAAGGACCAAAGATGTCTTATCATTACTACAGAATTAACAGCCACTGATCTTAGTTCAGCAGAAAAGAAGAAGGTGACCTAAAAGATGTCACCAAAGTTTTAAAAAAATTCCAACATGTTTGGTCAAATTAGATATGTCTCTGGGTGGGGAAGTTTTTGAAAATGAGGAATATCCAGAAGCAAAAGGTAACACTTAAGAACTGTGAATAGGGAACAGCCTTAACTGCTTAGTATGATGGCAATTGAAGATAACCCTGTTAAATTATCATGCCAAAACCCAGCTGATTGCACGCTTACTTTTGGTATTCTAAAAGGTTATTACGCAAAGAGCATCTAAAGGCTGTTTAAAAGCTAGTTTTAAATCCCTGTGGTACACCTGAGAAGTAAGTACACTTATGCAGCAGAATAGGAGATGTGGGTCAAACCGCGTGCCAGATCTGAAATAGCTGTTGTGCATTGCAGTTCACCAGCTGCAAGGGGAGAATGGAGTGAACAACTACTGCTTTGGAAGTTTGGTCACACCGGACAAAAAGAGTAATGCTTACTTCAAACTGAGAATATACATCCAGTTTTAGAGGTTTTAACTTAATACACCCCGTTTTCTTCATTTGCCACTTTTAAAAAACAACTGTGAAGTCAGAAAAAAAAAAAATCCAGTCCTTGCTCAAGTAATGTTTAAGGGGGAAACATTCCAAGCTGATTGATCTGCCAGTTGATCCTTAGCTGTTCAGAAGTGGAATGGCTAGATCTCAGCAGTGGTTTGATAGAATATTAAATCATAAGCTGCTTTTTCTTCAATGATATGGAAAGTAGCCATACAATAATGTCCAAAGCTCCTCCTCACAACAAGCCATTACTCATATCAAGATAGCATTATCAAAATAATATTTTTTAAAGAATCAAGATATCAGCCATTTTCCTTAGATTAGGAATTGGTGATTTTTTATAATTTGTGCTAAATGACTCTAGGCATTTGTTATTAGCTAGCATCCTTTTTGGAGGTACAGCATGAAGCCCCAAAATGATTATGGTTCTCTTGCTAGAACAATATTGGAGTGAAGTAGAAGTTTGATTCTAGAAATTTCTAGAAATTTCCCCAGTCAAAAAAAAATATAAAAAATCACATGGCCTGGATTTTTAAGAGTTCAAACATAAGCAATGACTCATGAAAGAAATATGAAATAATTGCAAAGTTATTGAGAAAATGATACTAAAGAAGCATGGAGAAAAATCAGCCTGCTTTTGGTAATCCAGATACATGGAAAGAAAGACTTCATGAAAGGTTACTTGAATTTTCTCCTTCCTACTTATTTTCTCCTTGCTTTTGTTGAAAGCAGTGTACTGTTGTAAAAAGACTACCAAAAAAGCCTTATTCATTTAGACACAGAAATGACTTTAGAATGAAGTATGTAAAACAGTTCTTGCATTCCTAAATATTAAGCATTTAAAGTATTTATAAGTTTTCCTACTGTTTCATGTCTTTATTTGAAATTCTCTCTGATAAAAACGCGCACATAACAGTGTTAAAAGACCTTTTCCCTGACTTCTAGTCACATGATGAAAAATGCTTTTGAAAATATTTAAGTCTAGATACAGGAAGACGACTAAACTCCTAAGCTTTTTTCTTCTAAAAAATTCCCATTGTTGCCAAAGCTGGTGAAGCTCCTCTGACGGTGACGATGGTGGGAGCACTAAGGCAGAAAAGCTTCCGAGTGCCCGCAAGCATTCCCACCGCCGCGCCTTCGACCTACCTCCTGCAAATCTCCGTTCCTGCCTTTAGAAAATGGGTGGCCACACATTCCTTGTCATGTTCACCCTTCCTCTCAAAGAGCTTAACATTGGGAAACTTCACATAAATGCATAACAGACAACGACAAGGAACAAATTTGCTTAGCAAGGCAGCCAGCAGGCTTACTGTACTCCCCCCCCCCCAACATTTAAAGAATGCAACTATCTTCTCTCTTTCCTTTCCCATGTAGCTTGAGAATTACATCCAAGACAGTATGAAGAAAGAAATGGTAGAGATCCAGCAAACTGCAGTGCAGAACCAGACTGCAGTAATGATTGAAATAGGCACAAACTTACTAAATCAAACAGCTGAACAGACCCGCAAATTAACAGATGTTGAAGCACAAGTAAGTAATGAATTTCAACCTAAAAATGCTTCTGCTTCCCAAACACCTACCACTATACATTTAACACAGTTTAGTGTTACACTATTCAGTTCAACAATCAGAAGTCAATCATTACAATCAACAGCTCTACTCAGCGTAGGAAACCATTCGTATTTGGTAACACAGAGTTCCACTGTTGTCTCTTGAAGATTTCCATTACAGCAGGAGTTGAAGTATGTCTGGCAAGACAATTGTTACATTCATCTTTATAGATAAAAGTACTTAAACCTACTATACTATATCCAAACATCACTTGGGTACTAGTATGCTTTTCTACAACCCTCATTGTATATCTCTGTTTATTATTCACCTCTCGCCACCAGATCTTAGCTAAAAGAGAGTTCCTTCAAACTGCCTTTGTTCCATTTACCAAGCTAATTCCTTTTTTATATTTAAATTTGCCTTTTTTTTTTTTTAAACTTCTTGTCAAGAAAAATGGGTCTTTTTAATGAATGTTTTCACAAATACTATAAATTCATTTCCAGCACAATTATTGTTATTTAACAGAGGGATAAATAAATGAATCAGATATGAATCAAGAAAAAAGGGATTAGGATGAGGCTACTAGAAAAGTAGATTCACACAGAAGTAAACTTGCCTACTGTACATATTATTTTCTAAATAATTTTAAACAAATTAATGTATTTATCTTTAATTATTACTTTAATTGAAAAGCATTAACTACAATAAGACATTATGTGAAATAGAATGCAGATTTTAATATGGTATAAGGACAAGTCCAATCGATGTACAATGGTACGTATTTGTAGTTTTGCTAACACGGTAGGAAAATTCAGATATATAATTCCCCAAACAAATAATGAATAAAGCATGCAGCACATAACATTTTATATAATGTAAATAGCATGCAAAACCTAAAATCCTTGTTAGACGTTTTACTATCTGTAGAATTCATCCAATGAATTAAATTACTTTTTTTAACCTAAAACAAGCCTTTGTGAACTCTTTGATAAACTGATAGTTCATAGCTCACAGGCGTACTGAATTCAACTTTCTAACTGCATGATTCAGGAGCCCAGTATTTTGCCTATGTTAAGGGAATGTATTTACTCATTCACAGTAATGTCTTTATGGAAATTATTCAATTATTTTCTGCTTAGAGGAAGAAAATCATCACTGTAACTTTCCTTCTCTGCTTGAAATTACTGGTGACTGGGTTAAGGGCTTAATTAACAAAATAAGGAAATTAACCAAACAATTGCTCTCTCAAGGACACTTACTTTTGGCAATAGTTTTCAATTACACTTAAGTGTGAAATCATGTCCTGAATGACTGTTTAACGTGAAGGACATGAGTAATCAATTCTTCCTGCCAAGGAAAGCCAAATTCTGCTGAATTAAAAAAAGCTGTTCTAAAACAATGAGAAAATATTTCTAGAAAACATGCCTCAATGTAATGCAACCCAATACAAACCAAAAAGTATCTTCCATGTTTCCTAATATCTGCATTTCTTCATTTAAAGATGCAAATAAATTTAGACAGTAAACAATGCATATAGAAAAGGTAACATGAAAATGCAAGGAATGAATCAACAAAAGTGTGGTTCACCTGATAAACACTTTAAAATATAATTTGGGATTAAGGAAAATAGCTAAGAGGGAACTATCTAGGACTGGGCCAAGATTTCAACCAGTTAGATACGCAAAGTACTTACTTTCTACACCAGATTGAGAAAGCAACTCAACTTAAATTATTCTCTGAACAACAACGATAATAGTTCCAGTAATGAAATTAGAATATCATAACAGAGGGGAAGGTATGACAGCAAAAATAAAGTACACAGCAACTCTCATCCATAGATCAGAAATGTAGCAAACTACTGAAATATTCCCAATGATATATGGTAGTGTAACAACAAAATTAGTGCAACTCTGTCATTGTCTTCTTTCTAATTCTATGAGCATTTGTGCCCAAATTAAGTGTTCAAAAATATTTTTTTAATTATAGGCTTAAGTAGACATTTGCATGATTTCACAACATAAAGAAATTACAATTTATTTAAAAAGTATCTTGATTTCCAAATATTTTTATAAATTTTATTTAGGTATTAAACCAGACAACCAGACTTGAACTTCAGCTTTTGGAACACTCTCTTTCAACAAACAAACTAGAAAGACAGATTTCAGATCAGACCAATGAGATAACTAAATTACAAGAAAAAAACAGGTAAGTTTGCTTATCAACCCAATAAAATGCTATTCCCTGAAGTGTCCTTCTGATGGTTTTAGAAACAAATGTACTCAAGCAGGAAAATAAGGCCTTGTACAGAAGCTCCCCACACCCAGCTATGCTCATTACAAAGGTCGTATATTATTAAAGGCCTAGAGAATCATGCAGGTTTATTCTTCTTGTGTTCTGTTTATATATAATTCTTCACTCTCTAAAGTTCTCATTTATATGAAGAACTTAAGGTTAGAACTGAAATACTTCTCAGCACTTCCGTTATAGCCAATTTATATTCTTCTTTAGACTTACCTAGATGAAGTTGCGGATTTTGTAACCTGACTCAAACTAACCCGGTGCAACCACATCTCTGAACTTTTATTTCCATATAGTACACACCTATCCTAATACACGATCAGGTCATTGCCACAATTTTTTTCTAACCTGGTGAGAAAAGGCAACTACTGCTCAAATTCAACGTTCCTTACTAGTCAATCTTTTGAAATTCAGACCGATATCCAGCTATTACTCCTACCAGTTTCTGTACTCAGCTGTTGTCCAAAGGCTCATACCTTTTTTCCAGCTAGTTTCATTTTCATATCACCAGGGGCTTATTTTACTTTTGGCAATAAATAGTTTACAGAGAAATCTAAAAGCAGCAATAACAGTAAGTTTTCTCCTTCAAAGCCGTGTTTTTCAATGAGAACCATATGTGCAAAGTGCTTTTTATTTTGAAAGAATTAGCTTAAAAACCCAGGAGACGTGTTTTGACATTTTTGTTCACTACTCTACTACATTTATATATGCTCCCTAAAGGTTTTATCTACCAGCTTAATAAAACAAGCATCCTTATCAAATGGAAAGCAAACTAAATACTGAATTTTAAAATGACACCTTTTTTTTTTTTTTTGTGTTGAACTCAGCAGACTTTAGACTACCCTTTTAAAACCCACATAAACACAAAAGCATTGTTTCTCACCTAACAAAAGACAATGTGACATTGAGCTAATCTGCTTGAAACATAATTATAAGTTTCAGGATTTTTTTTCAATAATGGCAATGGATTTTAGGTGAACTTCTCCCTTCTGGCCACGCATCTTTTAACCTCAGCTTTCTCAGAGTCTGCATCAGAACAACTACCAATGAAATAATGTTCCAGCCAGTACTCACACCAGCTCCAGAACTGGAGATGGGTAACACATCTTCAAGTAACTATTTGCACGGTTCCCTGTCTTAATGCTGTAACATGTATTAAAGTTAAGTATATATTTTATTATAATTTGAATATTATTTGAAGAGTTCATAGGTTCATCTTTGAATAAGTTTCATCTTTTAATAGGGTAAAACCATGAAATCTTTCACTGTATCTTTCCTCTCACAATGTTGAATTATCAAACACCAAATTGTTACCCTTTAAAAGCCTGCAATACAGACTATAGTAGATAATGTTGTTTATTGATGTACTACTATAATAAATTAAAGCATATATATCAAACTAAACTCAGCTTTCATTTAGCTTTCTACTGCATGCATGGCATCAGAGAATGAAGTTGAGTACTTATGAAGAAAGAAACTTCTGCAACAGGCTTGATTCTCTTTACATCAGCTCAAAATTGTTTCTGGGGAGCCTAATTGTAATCTTTTATTTAGCTTTCTAGAAAAAAGAGTTCTTGAGATGGAAGACAAGCACACACTTCAGCTGAAGTCAATAAAAGATGAAAAAGATCAGCTTCAAGTCCTAGTAGCCAGACAGAATTCTATTATAGAAGAACTAGAAAAACAGTTAGTTACAGCTACAGTGAACAACTCAGTTCTGCAAAAACAGCAACATGACCTGATGGAGACTGTTCATAACTTGCTTACTATGATATCTACACCAAACTGTAAGTAAAAGCAGACATGCTTATATCACTTGAGTGACATTCCCTAATTTGTGTACATTTATTACCTATAAAGTCTTAAAACCAGCTTCACCACACTTCTGCTTCTTAAAAAGTATAATTTTTTTTGCCTTAAATTCTGCATCTGAATAAATTAACAATTTTTTTTGGGGGGGGGGTAGACAACCACAAGATTTGTGTGGTTTCTTTTCAACATCTTGTTCATCTTCTGTGGTTTATATTGGTTTGCCTGCCCACTTCTCGAGCGGTTCAACAAAATACAGAGATGCCAAGTATCATTCATCTCACATGGCATTCATTCGTCTGGCAGTATACGCTCCCTTGACCATATATCTTGGTTAGATTGCGTGATGTAGGCCTGTAGTTTTTCTTCCTGGCTCACAAAGTTTGCTTCTGCCACCTCTCATTGCTCTGTGCACACAGAGTTGATCAAAGAAAGGACAAATTATAGTGGCTATTAAAGGCAAAGGAATCAGCACTGGCCCAATTTTTAGCACCTATGTATGCCCCAAACAACAGAACGCACCAGCCCAGGGCAGCAGGTACTCCCCAAAGTCCTCCAGTCTTTCACTGAAGCTTTCCTGTTCATCCTAAAAATCCCTCAGCCTGGCAAATTTTATAGGCAATAATCTCACCCCGAAATGCCTGACAGCCCTGCAACAAATCGTAGCCACCGAGCATAGCTTCCAAATTTATGCAGATTCACAGGCTCCATAAAAAACCCACACAAACCATAAACTGAAAGTTATGGCTAAATGGGATTGAAACAAATGAACGAATTCTTTACCTTGAATTTTATGTTTGATACGGAACTTTGACAAATTAAGAAGATACAGCTGTTGTATATAAAAAAGTAAAGAATCTGGAATGTTTGCCTGTAAAGTTCCCAGGGTGGAAAATACACAAGAATGTAGAATCTCTGAAAAAAATATTTAAAATTAAATACTAGGAAGATTTTAAAATAGCTGTCATTGCAACTTAAAAGACAGTATAGACAGACTATGCTACGTTACTATAAGTTGGATCACAAAAAAGGAAAAGGACGTTCAGAAGTCCTCGCTTTCAGTAGTGCCCTAAATGATATGATGTTTTAGGTTTTTCTAAACAAAGTAAATCCCAAGTTTTTTGTCTTAATAACTGACACTATCCCCTTAAATACCATTACCAAGGCTGTACATGTTCCTACTGATGTTATCTGCTATGCTAGTGCACAAATAAGTAAACAAGTCAAAGTCATGTTGGCTACAACACTGTTAAACCCAGAGTGGAAAAAATAATGAATGTTTGCCAAAAAGACAAAATTAGCAGGGAAAGCTTCTAAGACAGTATACAAACAATAGAGTGTGGAAAAGCAATTAAAACTGAACGTGTTATTTTTATATTTAAGGCAAAGCATGTAAACAGGTAAATAATGAATAAGCAAGCTAAAAAGAACATAATAAACAACTGTAATATAAGCATGTCTTTATATGGCACCTAAAACTTTGTACTAACTGGCTGTGCTTGTTAGATTAAATTAAAAGGGAAAATACACAGAACCAATTCCAAAAGGGTCAAATATGAAATATCAGTCCACAGGCGAAATGCCAGGAAATTCCAACCTCCATAGTTAACAAAGAACTGAACGAAAAGATGAGCCTTAGATTGTTCTGTAAAATAAGAAGGCTTAGCCATATTAAAATGTATTTTTTACACAAATGAATTCCAGAAGGGATGTCTCCTCAGTGGGTTGGGCTGAGCTTGGTACATACAAAGTTGTTTCTGCTCAGTATAGGGGCAAAAAAACTAGCTAAAACTTTGTAAGAGTAGTTATTCCAGTCAGCTGTATTATAAAAGACTTCATAACACTTAACATTAGATATCACAACTCCTACGTTAGATTTCACAATATTAGAGTGCTGGCCAAAGGTCATTATTAATGTAATAGGTTGACTAGTTAGATATGTTTGTAATAGTAGTTAATGCATGCAGAGATTGTAATGGATGTAGGAGTCAAGCAAAGGCAATGAATGGAAGCAGAAACTGTTCAACTGCATGAGATGCTACGTCCTAAGTTGTCTTATTCCACATAGTAGTGTCAGCACTTTTCAACCTATCAAGCAACCATGCCCGTATCAGAATAACGTCTCTAAATAATATAAAGTGACAACACATATAATTAATACCTTGATCTGTCATTTCTTTCAGGACCAGGCATATTTTTCGGAACTGCAAAGCTTTAAGCTGATTACATCATTAATTGCTTCTTATTAACTTTTATTCATCTCCTCTTAATGCCTTCAATTTCTATTGTATTTTTAACAGCGAAGAACAACTTCATAGCTAAAGAGGAGCAAATCAGCTTCAAAGACTGTGCTGAAGCTTTCAAATCTGGACTGACAACAAGTGGAATCTACACTTTAACAGTTCCAAACACTGTACAAGAAAAGAAGGTAGTGTGGCTATAAAGTGCTACCTAGGCATACTGTGTGTTAAAAAGTTATTTGATCTGGTAAATATGCTATTTTAAAGGCTAGTTAAGAGTGAAGTTTATTACTTAACATGTTTTTTTATGAGCGTTTCATCACTTACAGATCTGAGTGTCTCACAGGAAGAAGAAAGTCCTTCAGGTGAAATCTTGGCTCAGTTGAAATGAATAAGTGGTTTGTTGTTCACTTCAGCATGCCAGAATCTCATTCTTTGTTTCCACATAATTAATGCAATTAAAGCAATATAGTACTGTAATTTCTTTATAAAATCTCTAACTCCAATACAATTGCTCTGCATGATCAGCAATCTCCTGCCTCCTCTAAGTTCTTAGTTGCTTCATATACCCAAGTCCCCTCAGGTGGCAAAAGGAGGTAAAATCAGGGGCATGGAAGAGTACTCATGGCTGCATAATCATGTAAGCAATCTACTACTGCTGGACTCATGTATGGGTTCCAGTTCTTTGTTATGCAGTTTTAAGGGCATTTGTGTAACAATTAGATTAGCAATTAGATCAGCACAACTGACACTGGGTAACAGAGAGGACTTTCCAGGAAAATACTGCTCTGATTTAAATAAAAGATGAGAGTTTGCAGTGGTTTCACTAGATCAGTTTAAATTCCTCTGTGGACCTTTTTTTCCCCCTGTGTGTTTAACTGAAATGAACTTCAATGTCCACTTAAGTTAAAGCAATACATCATACCTCTATAGAAGAGACCTTCAGCTAAAAATGGCACTCAGTGGATGAAACACTGGATGCCTGACAGATGCTCCGTCTACTGCAGTAAATAAAATGATAGAGCTTCAGATAGTATAATTCAGTTGAAACAATCAATAAAATCTGAAAGGGAGAAAAGTCCCAGGCAGATTGTGAGGATAAAAAACCAAAACTGCACTGAGCATTCTGAGGAGTGGGGCTCAAATGATGAACGTTTGTTTCCAACTTTTCAGACACAGCAGGCTGAGGAGGCTAAGGGACATTTGTACATAGCAAAAATGCTTAATATATTTCTTAGACAAACATTAAACAATTTTCTAATGTTGTTATTGAATTATTTCATATAGTAGATGCTTCCTTGGAAAAAATGAAGTATTTTATGGAATTCCTAAGGCTCTAGTTTATTATATCAGAAATACTTAGGGGAAAAAAAACTAACAGAAAATGTACAAAAGCAGAGAAAAATGAGGCCCCATCTGGAAAAGCAATTGGTAAAACTCTGACAGAGAAAGCAAGTCTTGATAGTGAAGGTTTAGAAATTAAGTTCAGCAGTGACTAGTCTTTGAAGTGCCAGAACTTCATCTAGCCCAAGCTAGACTTTGTGATCTTTACTGTTACAAAGCTCTCAACTAAAGGTAATAAGCAATTTGTTTGGTAAGTTCTATAAAATACAATACATAAATCCTGCAATTTTTTCAGATGATATCTAGAGAAATGATGATATCTGCAGTCTGTCTCTCTTGAGAAAAATAAAAAGAAAAGAGGCTGGTTTTCCTTTGGAATACTCTAGTCTATAGTCAATACATCTGTTTCACAAGAAAATTAGTTACATAAGATGCAATAAAGTGCTTTATTACACATGAAGCAGAATGGTATTTAAATAGCATCGATATCTACATTCACAATTTTAAATGCTAAAAGAAATGCAAGCTACTGCAGCTCTAAAGTAAGAGATTGCAGCAGTCTTTGTTAGACAACTCAGGAACGGTTACATTCCTTGAATGTCTTAATATTACTTGTTGCAAGCTTTTACCTTTGGTTTCAGTTTTACTATCAAATATAATATACAGAGCATACATATTTTCTAAAAGCAGGCACAAGTGCGTGCTATATTACAGAATGAAAATTTCTGTCATAAACTTTAGCACTGCATTTTCAAAGCCATAAATGTTTAGGCAATTTATATGATCTGAGAAGCCAGAGTAACACACATTTCTACGAAACTAAAACCTACTAAAATATTCTATCACTGAAACAAAAGTACAGTCACAAATTTCCTAGACTATAAAATATGAAATGCTTTACATTTGAACATGGAGGCTTAAATCACTTAACAAAAATACCCATTTTGGTAATTGACTAGGTTAAAAAAAGTAGTTAAAATGTAATAATTTAATTAAATCAGTAATTCTTTTAATAATATTAAAGAATTTCAATCTTATTCTGCCCACTTCAGATAGAATGAAAAAGACACTTAAAAAGACAGTGAAGGTTTTACTTACTATATGACATGAAAAATAAGAGACTAAAAAGTTTTAATCTGATGCAGATTTTTTATACAAATACAAATGCATAAGAGGAGTTGTCAGGAGAAGTGAAGGTTTAGGGATAATCAACACCTTACAACGTTTTCAACTGTTTATGATGTGGATGGCCACACGGACCAGGAAACAGAATGACCTTTTTTATTTGCCAAAAGTGCTGCGCTGCTGTTTATGTTTTTGTCTTTTCCTGTTGTAACACCTTCTGACCTCCCAACAGGCTTATAAACAACTTCTGTGTAATCTGTAACTGATCCCACTTTACTAATTTGTCTCCCATCATAATCCAAAGCTAAAGAATTACATACGAGAGCTGAGTGGAAAACAATTATTTCATTCCATTAATATTTTCAAGCTTTCAAGCTTTCCTGTTCTGCACTAGGACAAAAGCTAAGTCCTTTTAAAAACACTGAGGAAAAACAGCAAAAGACTGCTGACACAAGGAAAAATGGCAGAGGCAAACCCATGACAAGTCGATAGCTTCATGTTTACAGCAGTCACCTGAACCAATTAACCTCTCCTGGTCTTAGCCAGGCAGAAGAGTTGAGTCTGGATGAGCCTAATATATTAGCTCAGCCGTTAATCACAACTATTGCCAATGAATCACCCCGAATCTTAAAACAGTGGCTGAAGCAGTGGCTAAGCTCTTCCCCATTTTCACCCCTGTTGAGCTGAATTTTTGTCCCAGAACCGACACACATTCCAAGCCAAGGCCTTTTTAACCAAAACTTTCTTGCAGAAAGCGATTTGGGCAAATTTGAATTTACCAAGAAAATGGTTTGGCATAACTTTCCTAAAAAGTGATCATCCAGACAACTAGCTAGTCATTTCAAAAGCAGCCCATGCCATGGACCTTACATTTAAAATACACCTACACAAATTGTTTCCAACCCCAAACATTAAAAAGGAGCATATCCATAGCTTCATAGCTTCTCCGATACAGTACGAGGTCAGATTTTTTTTTTTTTTTGTGAATTTTACATTGTCTGTCTTTTTCAGACAATGTCTTTTCTTTTGGTATTAGGTTAAATTACATTATAAACCACACGTGTAGTTATTTTTTCCGGAAAAAGGAAATTAAGACCGCAATTCTTATCTAGTCACATCTCTAGGAGCTAGAGGTAGCAGAATACAAAATCATTGAGCATCATGACTCAAAAGTGCTCAGACGACAGCCAGAAGTGATGCAAAGGGACACTGCACTGATGTGGCAACTGCACTTGCTTTTGTATAAGAACTGTAGTGGATCTTCATTCAGAAAGTAGGTCTGAAAACACTTATGCCCCAAATATCCAAGAAAAAAGAAGAAAAATTACTTGCTCTGAAAGTCAACTTCCTAGACAGTGAAGACGTCAAATTGACTGCTCACAGCTTACGTGCCTATCATCTTTGGAAAGGGGGCTACTTCTGGTTACACGTACATTACAGCATTTTCAAAACTACAGCACTGATCTTTAGCTGAAGGTGAAAAACATAAACAGCTGACCTTGGCTCTCACAGTGCTGCAGCTGCTAGAACTGTAAGTACTGAAGCAGTTCACAAGATGAATCAAATATTCCCCCTGCCAATTTGTGGTAATTTAAGAGGCTAATCTCTTTATTCTTTTTGGCATCTGTTTGAAGACTCCTGCTGCCTGCCTAATCTTGGTATCTATTTTTATTAGTTTTATGAAATGTTACATTTCTTCCTTTTGAATATAAAACCTAGGCTAGGCTGAAAGGTCAGAAGAGTTCTGTTCTAGTAATGAGTGTTAGAGAAGGCCTTACATGCATATCATTTTACTGGAGAATGATGATTTTTTTTTTTAAAAAAAGAAGTTATAGTCCAAATAAATGCTTCCTCTCCCCTCATCTTTCACATACATCATAAAGAAATTGTTCCCTCTGCAGACTGACACAGCAATTTATTGTGTTTATTTTAAACTAAGCAAATCTTTTCCTTAATCTTCATTTTACTGAATAGCCCATCTCCCTCCTTAAAATTACTGATAAATATACATCATTCACTTAAGTATTTTTAGTAAAGAGTAATAAAAATAGATCAACTTATTTCATTAATTTTCTTTCTGTAATCTTTACTGCCATTTTTCTTCATTGACTTTATTTTTTCCCAAATGAAAAATCAAGTGTGTATGTAAATTTAAAGTTCCTAGTTTTACAGTAAGTAGTCAGAGAATTGATTTCTAGGGAAATGATCTGGAAAGCAAAGAATGATTTCATAAGCAAAGCTGCATGTGTGAGGGCTTGAAAGATGGGTTCTGAATTGCCAGTCAAGCCTGAAAGCAAAACATTTTGCTGTATGATGCTTACCTAATAGGTGCTAAAAAGAATTTTCACTTCTTAGCTAGTTCAGGGGAGCAAGTGTGCAACCACGAAGTACAGCATTTAGAAACCATACACTGAAATCTCAAACAGCAATAATCTCATCTTTTAAAACAGTTACTAAGACACTAGAAGGAGATGATGTAACCAGTACATTCCCGTTGCCTGTGCCACACTTTCCACCCAAGAAAGAAAAGGATTTCCCTTCCTAAGGCCATAAAAGTGGCATCTTTTAAAAGTACTTACAGATGGCTGACATGAAATTTTTGGTGTGGAAAAATTATACTCCCAAATTCACATAAACTTTATAAAATCATTACTGGTAAGAAAAATCTACGCGAGATTTTTATAGACTTCTATTCTTCAATTTCTTATTATGTGTTTCAGTTCCTACTAAATTGCTTCTCCCTTCGGGAACAAATTTGCAGTACCCCAGCATTTATCCCAAAGGTCTATAGTGTCTATAAAAGCTAGTTGTCTTACCATTCACATACAAAATGGATACTGGCTGTAACAGGAACATTTTATGTAAGACATTCACAGTCATTCACTGTTTGAGAATATTTTCATCTCATTAGAACTAATTAAAGTGCTATTTTAAAGCATTTATATCTTCAAAGTAATAATTCCAGCTGAATTGATATTTAGATGATAGGCATCAAGGAAATTGAATGTAACATTCAAAACCATCAACTAACGTCTACAATAGCAATATCAGACTGGACCAGTGGCCCATGTAAATTAATATCTGGCCTCCCTCTGTAAGTGGTTAAAAACTACGTGTTTCAGAGAAGGGTGAAACACTTCTATTCTCAGTCTGGCTGCTTATACTGTCCTTTCAGGGGGTGAAGCTTCAGAGTCAACAACTTTCTCTACAGCCAATGATATTTGACCACTGTTAAATCAGCATTTTAACTTGTAGCGATGCTTAATAAAAAGTATCTGCATCTGCTTTAGCCCATCCCTAGTACCCCTCTTCATAGCCTCCTGTGGAAATTAATTTTCTCATAGGCATTAAACATCCCATGAATTAGCTTTCTAAAACAGATTGATCATCTTTTACAATACCCTATCTTCAACCTTTCCTTTTCAAGGCAATTTTTATTTTTACTAAATTTAATTTATATGCTATTACCAAATCTTTATCAGTCATTAAATACAGAGGTTAGTAAAATCAAACAAAAAACAGGCTATGAGGTGCAAGGAATTGCATACATCAGTACAAATTAAAGTTGCTTTCAATTAAATTCCATTCACATGACATACTTTAACAAGTAATCCCTAATCCAACTCTTTTCTTTCTTTTTTTATCTTTCCTAAAAATCTCCAGTTGAATGTCTCAGGATTCTCTGATGTTGAACAGACAGTCTAGATACAACCTCAAAATACAGTATCTGCTTCAGATTTCCAATGTGTTACAGCCTACTGAAACACTAATATGTTTATTATTTGCAGCTCTAAGGGCTTTCTTTCCTTTCAAAAGTCTTTAAACAGTATATATGCCACTGCTTGCACTGTAAATACCCTGTTTGATGCATGTAAATATATGTGTGTGTATAACATATGTACCATACACATACACAGAAATACATGCAAACCCTAAAAGAGCCAGCTATATTGAAAATTTAGTAAGGAGCATGCTCTTCTTCCTAAGAAGATGCACAAAACACTGCCACAGGACAGAAGGAAACTCTGGCTTCTCTGAAGTCCCACTTTTTTAGTGAGTTTCCAGGATGTCTAACAGTTCGAAGAACTCAAAACTGCTGTCTGCTAACACTGCTGAGACAGTCTCCTGTAGAAGAGGATGAAAAAGACATACAGGTTCAGTGTCATTCAGTCATGATTTGGGGCATTTATAGGCATATTGTGACAAGCAGCAGTAGTAAGTTAGGTAAGAAGGAATATCACTGAGAGATTTTTTTAAACAAAGAAGGAAACATCAAAATTCATAAGAAAACACTCCAGTCTAGGTGGTTTCTTTTAATCAATCTGCACAGATGAAATATCCTATCAAAGTGTAAGAAGCCAAATCTTGGCCTCACTACTGAAAGGGAAGATGCAACTTCACTTATTTGATGGAAGATCTAGAATACAGGTTAGAAGTTAACATAGTTTAATCCTCAAACTATAATTTAATAACTTTTCAAAGATGTGAAATAATTCTGAAGAGGATATAGAACTTCAGTATCTTGGCAGAAAGTGGTAAAAAAATTAAATATTAAACTTCCAAATGAGAGACCCTAAAGCATTAACTGTGAACTCTCCAGACAGGAATACTTGTACAAGAAATTTAAGATTTTTCTTAAAATTAATATCAGTACTAACATGCAATTTAAACAGATACTGATTTCAGTTTGACTTTCATTACACTATTTCACACCAGCTTAACTCCACTGACTTCACACTTTTAAATTCTGCTAGTTACAGAAAAGCAGAATTAGATGCAACAATTTAAAATCCTTTCTCAAGAAAAATGGTCCTAAATATTCACATATTCACAAGACTTTCTTGTTAATTTATCACCTATTTCTCCCAAACATCACTCAAAAATTCCATCTAAATTTTCAAAAGGTTTTTTTTCCATCAGTATCTCCCCAGTGTATTGGCACCTTCAGTAATACCTTTTATCTCTGCCACTACAGTGAACATACACCAGAATTCTATTTAAATCAGTCACTTTCTATTTTAATGTAGAAGGAGATTGACTGAACAAGTCACCTATAAATTTGAATTTTACTGTGCCAGGGGTGCCTTTATTGGGTATTCTAAAACTCTGTTCAGTGAACTGCCTATTACGTGTTAATCCTTTCGAATGTTTAGCAATAACTTCGTAAAATCAAAGACGATTTATGAATATATGGAAACATCTGATAGTTGTTACTTTTTTGTTCTAGAATATAATATATTCATCGCAGTTTGTATAATAACATGTCTTCAAGATTTAACATTCAGATAATAATTAATTGTTCTACACTTAGATTTAACTTTGGGGTCAGAACATCTGCAAAGGCGTTGAACAATGACAGTGGAAATAAAAACATATTTCAGTTTGCTCACTGCCTGAATTTAACAGTATGTATACTCTGACAAGCCATGGGAAATTTGAATGGGTTTCTCACAAAAAAGATGGAGAAGTGAAAACAACTTTTAGGGGAAATATTTCATCGGGAAACTCACAAAAATATCAGTGCTAGAGGGAAGTACAGAATCAGAATCTACATTCATTTTTTTCTCCCTTTAACACCAGCTATCAGCTATTTTCAAGGTGTCATTTGTGTTCTGTTAAGCCTGATATCCACTGAGGAATCCCATTTCTTTGTGGACAACCACAACGGATTTGCATGAAAGTTATGAAACCCAGCATTTTTAGGTTAATGCACATTTTGCATTTGGACACTTTAAAACTTGCCACTATATAGAATTATGCGAAGTACATGCTTTGTGTTTTTGTTTTCCCATGACTGCATGGGCTTACGCTGTTACACGCTTCCTCTGGTAGGCCTACTGTGACATGGAAACTGGTGGAGGAGGTTGGACAGTTATTCAGAGACGTGAAGATGGCAGTGTGGACTTCCACCGGACATGGAGAGAGTACAAGATGGTAAACGATGTTTTCTGAAACCTTAATATTGGTTATTATTCTCTGAAATCTCATATAATAAAGTTACACTGATAGCATCCTTAGAATGTAAGCAGGTTTAAAAAGTTGTCTTTGTCCTTAGATGTTCATTTAGAAAATGTCACAGCAGTACAAGTTGTTTGCCTAAGCAGACTTGCAAGTGTGATGTTTGTTTTTAAAGAGAAACCTCACTTTCCTTTAATCAACTGTTCCATGATATGTACACATTTTTTGAGTTATTTATATTTGTGTTTCTAGTGGCAACAGTAGAAACTGCTCCAAATCTACTAAGTAATATTGATTCACAATTTCAAATTCCTCAGTTTGTCTTTGCTGAAATTAACTTTTTGAAATATTACAGATCTATAACCCTCACAGACACAGTAAAATTCTTAGTTGACAGAATGAAAACTATTAAACCTAAAAACTGATAAAGCGATCATTTCAAACTCAGAAAAAAACCAAAACAAAGCTATTTAAATATACAACTTGAATTACAGGGATTTGGTGATCCTGCTGGGGAGTACTGGCTGGGAAATGAGTTTGTCTCTCAACTGACTAATCAGAAGCGTTACGTTCTTAAGATACAACTGAAAGACTGGGAAGGAAATGAAGCATATTCATTGTATGACCACTTCTCTCTAGCAAGTGAAGAACTAAAATACAGGTAAGCGGAAAAATCAGATCTGAATAAAAAAGATCTGATAATAATCAGTCTAGACTGTGTAGATTCATGACCTTATTTCATAAAAATTATGACTATTTTTCAATTCACTCAGAAAATAATATTTCCTCCATTTTTCACCTCTTGCCTAAAACAATAATTTTTTTTCCAATGGAGAGAATGTGTATTTTACTAGTGCACACTGGGTGAATGTAACACACAAGATGCACAAAGGTGAAGAGATGGTATGGTATAAGATAGGATATATGTGCCAATATAGCAGATGTCAACGCACAGTCTTCAGGGCAATAGGAACCTCTCTGCAGTTGCTATCAAATCCCGATTTCCCACAATAAATACATTTCTGGAAAGTGGATGACTAAGATGAATAATACTGCAAGGAGATTTTCCACTTAAGCCAGTGGCTAATAGGAGCTGGGTCTGTTGTCATGAAGAGTACACTGAGGCAATGCTACCTTCTCCTTCCGTGACCCACTGGCTTGGACTCTCAAAGAATAACTCTCCTACCTGTGAAAATGAAGCTAATAGCAAATGTCCAGTCTCACCCCCCAACAAACATGTCAATTTGAACACCAGAATTTAATGAACCTATTACTTAAGCGCCCATCATTCCGTAAAATGTAAAGCTTCACAATTTCTTCTTACATATTTGGTTAAAATAGGAAATAATATACATTTTAAATAAATATTTTGTATATAAATAAATATTATCATAGTATTATACATTTGAAATAGTATCGGCCACAGCTGAAATATATGGGGAGTTCATACTTCATTGTCCAGGCTCTCTGTAAATTCAGTAGATATTGTTCAATTGGTTATAGAAGAAACTAGAGTCTCTACAGTATAACAGATGCTTTCCTACTACATGGTCCATGAAATGTTTCTTCATAAGAATCTTACAGATTCAGGGATCTTTAGGTGACTGGACGGAAAAATTGTCTAAATTAAAATGAATTCCTCTAAGATTTCTAGCACTATTTGTTGTAAACAAAGTCAATCTGACACCTGAGAGAACTGATGCTGTTATTTCAACTCAAATCTTATATGCAAAGCAATCCAAAACTATCAGCATCTCCCCTCCTCACCCCCGGCCCCAAACGTTAGATCTTAATGCCTTTGTAGTATACAGTTGTCTCAATTCCAAAGCAAATATTTTTTCATCTGGAAACAGTCAGAATCTACAGCAGAGATTTTTTTTAAAGTAATGCTTTAAAATACTTATAAAGGCAACCTTTGCAAAATGGGTCATTACCCTTGTCCATTTACAATATTAAAAAATAATTACTGAAAACTAAGATGGTTGTCTGTAAATAGATACTTTATTTTAATATGCAACCAAACATGGAATGCATCATAAAAAGCAGTGGTTTAAAGAATATATTTAACATTATGAAGAGAATAAACCTAAGAAAGTATTCAATTAAGAGCATCTTCCGTTACATTAAAAACATTAATACATTCTGAATGCTGGAAAGATTATGAGTTGAGCCATAAAACTGAAATTTCACAGATTTATAGAAAAATTGAGATCAGAATGCACTTAGTTTGAGTCAAACTTCCTGATCTCAAAGCTGTAAGGTCAGACCAGGCTGCTGAGGGCTTCATCCACTTGGGTCTTGATAACTTCCAAAGGTGGAGATTGCGCAACCTATTCCACTGCTTGTCTGTCCTCATGGTGAAAAATGTTTTCCTGATATCCAGTCAGAGCCCCTCATTTCAATTTACATCCACTGCCTCTCATCTTCCGTTATACTAAGCTGTACTTTTAAAAATGGAATAATAATAATAATAATAAATGAATAATACTCTGCTTACATTAGACTTCAGATGGTATTTGAAAATCAAGCCTAGGCTCAGACATTATACTTGGTACCTTTAATACCATTTATGTTAGAAACTGGCTTACAGAATTTTGAACTCAGCTTAAGAAAAACCAGAATATTTAACTTTGAGATTTTTGAGAAAATCTGTAATGAGCTGATCTTTTGAAACCTAAATGAAAAAAAATTCATTCATTCTTAATATCTTCAAATAGGGAATATAAAATGGCTTAAAATAATCTGTTAAACTACCAAAGACAACTTCTATCATAAGCAGAGAATTACATGCAAGATGAAGACTGATCCAGGGACAAGTTAATTCTCCTCACAGAGTCAGATCTCCTCCTTAAGCAAATAGAATACCTCTGAGAAGGACGAGCTATTTGATACAGAAATGCAATCACCAAAGAGATACTGTGGGAGCAGAGGGTTCAAGTCCTTCCAATTCAAGGTAACACAGTAATAGCTGTGTAATCGCCTCCCTAGTTCGGTGCTCTGTGTCTCTCCCCACTGAGACTGCATCTGCACCTGTGTAAGCAGAACCAAACGGCAGCAGCCTCACTGAAAGCTTTCCTTACCAGGGAACGGAAGCAAACTTAAATACCTGTGATGACGTAACATTAATAAATCTATGAAGGATGTGAAAAGGAAGAGTAATTAGGAAAGTAGAAAGGGAAATATTGAGGAACTCCTAAAATATCAGTTACTAGTGGGAATTAGTAATCCAGGTAATGCTATTATCTCTCATAGATGCAAAGTTGTAATGCTACATTGCCATGTTTTGCTAACAGCAAAATAGGAATCAAAAAAGTTTTGGTTTAAACTTTTGAACTTGATTAAAAAAATAATTGCACACACTGTACTTACAGTATTAAGAAATGCATGATCTGTATGAAAAAATCCAGGAGTTCTTATCTACCTGCTCTCATTTTCTTCTTATATGACATGAACTAAACAGTCATCTCTACAAATGTGGAGGCTGTTTATTAGATTATTGTGCTGACCATTTCTGCTTATACGAAAACATGCTGCAAAACAGCTTACAGCAGTACAGTACATTGGCCAGAAGAGAACTCAACTCTTTGAACAGGATATTTATTGCAAACTATTCCATCATTATTTTGCAGATCAGCTACCATTAACTTCCCCATAATAATTGTTTTTCCATTCCTCACTCCTACAGGATCTACCTTAAAGGACTTACTGGGACAGCGGGCAAAATAAGTAGTATAAGCCAACCAGGAAATGATTTTAGCACAAAGGATGCAGACAATGACAAATGTATTTGCAAATGTTCACAAATGCTAACAGGAGGTAGGAATGTTTTTTTGTTTCTCGGTCTTCCTATTTTTATTGGCACTGAAATTGTCTATGAGATAAATAGTGATAATTTTGACTTAGTAAATTTTGACTATTGAAGAAGTCCAAAACTCACAGATAGAAACACTAGTAGGGTGACTCCAAATGAAATATTTTATCATTTGACAAAGGTTAGTTAAAGTAAAACAAGAAGTTAAAACTGGAGGGAAAAAAGTCTCTAGAGTAGGTGTACAAGAAAGTTTGTAATTGTGGAACTAATCAGAGAGACAGCAGATTCTTCTTCCAAGGAACGAGAGAACATTCAGATATCAAAACATTTAACTCTCCCCCAAAAACCTGTTTTAGAGAGTCAGTTTGTCAGTGAAATGGCTCCTGATTCTTTAGGCACAAACTCTTTCCCTAACTATGCAGAGAAGAGAAGCCCCAAAAGCTGCTGTATACTGTACATGCCAAGGAAGGGTACAAGTATTTAATTCCGTATTTCAATCTAATTACGAAATGGCAAAGATACACCACATACATGAGATATCTACATTCTTCTAATGATTGTTCACTAGTTATTGGAGGCTTAGGTGATATATTTATCTGGAACCACACAAGCCATTCCGTAATTTGTCAATCTAGAATTCCACATTCTGAAATGTAAACAACTGCTTTGTGAATTTGACTTCTCTTCCTGTTATCTCTTAAGCAATGGTTCATTTCCCTATAGCACAAGTTGCAAGACAAAAGACAGCTTCAGTTTATCCAAAAGGATAATTGGATTACTGCCCTGCAAAACAGAACACACACATTATCGCCATCATAACAGAAGTATAAAAATATTATCTTATTAATAAAAATAAATTTTCCTTATGACCCACTAACAGGTCAGGGCCATAAGGATACAAAATAAGTTTGGGCGGCTTTTTTCTCCTTTTCCTTCTTACCAAGTTTCAGCAGAGAGGTTTTGAACTGATCTGCACAGAGAACCGAAACAGATAACTGAATTAATCCTCTAAAAAGAATTAAGAAAGGAGTTCAAATCTGTGAAGAACAGAAATTTACCAAAGAGCAGATAAGAACCAGAGACAACTCAGTATCATTGTAGCACAAGTTGAACTATGCCCTCAGACTGCCAACAATAATGTTTGATAGCAATTATAAATTAAGCTTGATTGAACACCTTGCCGTCTCAATTTTAAACTACAATATATTACATAAGCTTCAAGAATATGTAGTTAATACATAAATACCTTTCTTTTCTGAATTTGAGGCAAGTATTTTATACTGACACTTCCAAATAGTAAGAATGAAAACCTGGGGTTAGATTTCTTTCTCATTTCAGGACAACAAAGTGTCCTTATATACTATTTTGAAAATTACCTCTGCTGATGTTTTTCTTTGTTTTCTGTCTTGCAGGATGGTGGTTTGATGCATGTGGTCCTTCTAACCTCAACGGAATGTATTATCCATTACGACAGAACAACAACAAGTTCAATGGTATCAAGTGGTACTACTGGAAAGGCTCGGGATACTCTCTCAAAGCCACAACCATGATGATTCGACCAGCGGATTTCTAAGTGCTTTTGCATTATGTGAATTATGTATTGTATAGTCTTCAAAGACTTCATTTGCTGAGCATATAAACACACATCTGCAACTTGTCTCACTTTCAAGCCCAGAAAACATGCGCTAGTGTTCTGAAGGGATCAGTTCCGTACAGGTCCTGAATTGCAATAGCCTTGATCACCTAAAGCTCATATTATTCAACCAGACACAAAGTCTAAAGTATCAACCTGATATAACAGTGGTTTGGCCAAACGACTGAATAAAAAGAACATAGAAGAAACTGTCAGACAACTTAAGGACTCTGTTTTAGTGATCATTTATGTTATGTACGTGTTAGTAAATAACTGGAACTGTGAAAAATACCTAAAATAGTTTTAGAAATATGCATTTTGCCTCATCACTGAACTTTAAACATTACTCTAATATAAAACACTTAACTAGATCTAGAACTATTTATCTGTGTCATGTTTGCCTTTTATGTACATAAAAAAATACTGTTCTGTAATTAGCTCAATACTGTAGTTAAAGAATACATTCTTTCCCCCCCATAGTCTCCTAAACAACTTCTTACTCTTATTCAGGGATTTTTTCCAATAGTCTGTATTACTTTATTTAACAGAGGACAAATAGCATTTAATTACTTTGCATTTATTCTTGGGAAATACCGTGTACAAAAATCACCATTTCTTTCAGTTTGTACTTATTACAGTCTCTATCTTTAAGTTACAAAAATCCCTGCAAATTACAATATAGTATGTATTTCTTTATATTTTTATGAAGAATGCACTTTTTTTCCTTTCCTTGTCATTGACCTGTAAAATAACTGATAAGTATTTTATAAACCGAGACAACGGCATTAACACCAGATGTCCGGTTGTCTATGACAATCAGTTATCACCTGGTGCTGTAGTACATCTATGCATTTTGTAAAAATAACCTAAAGGAAAAATGTATGCATATACTTTGATACAATTAAATTTATGCTCACGACTTAAGATACAAATTACTATGTTTTAAAAACAGCAGAAAAAAACCCCTGAAAGTTATCTAAAGTCATACTGTTGAGTTGTTTTTTTTTTTTTCCAGTAAGGTTAGGACTTCTCCCTAGGAATTCTCCATAGGTAGGCCCTCAATGTATGCCACAATGTGAATAAATTACTCTACTGTGTGATTTTTGCTTTTTTTTATTACTATATGCTTTAATATTGTGTACTGTACACTGCTGTTCAGATTGAAAAGATATTTCTTCATAAGCAGAAAATAATTTTGTGGAGTTTTTCCCCCAAATTAACTTTCATTTTAATTCTCATGCTTAGTCTTTGCCTTAAAGTAATATTTTTGTAAAATTCTAATTTCAGCAGATGACTGAATTAGTTACAAGGCAAGAACATATCTCATACCAAAACAAAACAAAAACCCCAGACAACATTTCTGGAGGCTTACTTAACAAAAGGTATTGTGTCTTAAAAAACAGTAAATGTTTTTGAGAAAGATGGAAGAAAAAGCTTCATTTTATACTGACAGTTATTAAAGCTGCTGTCAAGAGTACCCCACCACTCCACCACCGTTCTCCACTGAAAATGCATGTCAGCATTACCGAAGGGTAGCAGAGATAAAAAATACTTCCTCTATTACTTCATGATCTGATTTTAAATAAACCTAACAAATGTATATTAACAGTCATCATCTGAAGAGTCGCATAAAATAATCTCAATTCATTTAAGATTACTGTTTAGTATTTTATTGTTTCTCCGAGCAAACTTCTAAGGATATACATATCCCAAACTAAAAAAAAAACCAAACCAACCTTCACAAAATTGCTTTCATGAATTTCTAAGAAATGTCTTAAAAAGCAAGGCTAGCAGACAGCCACCAAGCTAGTAAAGGAACTCGACATACCAAGAAGAACACAACATACCAAGAGAGGCGGAGAGAGCTGGCCTTTTTCAGCATGGAGAAGAGAAGGGGAAGAGGAGACCTTACTGCTGTCTACAACTGCCTGATGGAGGACACAGAAGACGAGCCAGACCCTTCTGGGAAGTGCACCGCAATGGGACAAGAGACAGGGACAAGAAGCAGCAAACACAAGTTGGAATTGGGGAAATTAGATTTTCTTTTTAATTTATTCATTTATTACCATGAAGGTGGACTGGACAAGTCCCTTGGAGCAGAGCGTTGAACTAGACAACTTTCAGGGGTCCCTTCTGATCTAAAATATTTTATGATTCTATGAAATTTAATAGAAATGCTGAGTCTAGATTACTGTATTTCCTGCTTCACTGCATTTAATCAGACAAGTAAATACTCCCAATATTTGAGATAGTAAGCATATCCAGCCCAATAATCTAAAAAAAAAAAAAAAAGAAAGAAAAAAAGAAAAAGAAAGGAAAAAAAAAGAAAAGCTTCTTAAACCCCATGATGGAATCTGTGGAATCTGGCAAGTATGAATGCTCAACCTGGCAAAGGAAAATACTGCTAACTTCTGGTTGATATTAACCTTCACGATTTTAGTAAGAAAACACTATATGACAAGAATAATTAAATATTGCATGGCTAGTTTCGATTTCCTGGAAAAAAGTCTTTATAAAGCTTAAGGCTTTTTGATGACTATTTTGGGAAAGTGATTGAAGATACTGATGTAGACATTGAAAGGATCAATTGTTTAATGAGACTTCCATTTTTAGGGAAAATGGAGTAATTTATCAACACAAATGTAAAATTTTAGAATGAAGATGTTTTTAAATGACATTTTATCAAAATGAGATTGCATGGCTTAAACTGCAAACACCAAAGTGAAGTGAGAGGAGGACATTTTCGAAGGAATGCAATAATAAGAAAAAGAAGGCTGCAACAACTGCTTTGGACTTGGTACAAATAATTAAAACATAACAGGAAGATAACCCCTTCTTTTAATTCCTTCCTGTAATCAAATAAACAGTATGTAAGACTAGAATGCACTTCCATTTTCTCTAAATACTTCTTAGGAAGCAGAAAAGAAATAACAAGAAAAGAAAGGGAATGTAGACACCATTCATGCTCAAATAATAATCATATCTTTAAAAATAAGATATCTGTTAAAGTAAGAAACCAGAATGACTCAAGAAGGGAACGATTGGAAAAGTGACGGAAATGTCACCTTGGACACTGACTTTGTTCCTCTGCAAGAGGAGCACACTGCAAACAGAGGCCATTCACATTCTCAGCACAACCATAACTTCCCTCAGTTTTATCTTCTCACCATCTCTCAAGCCCTCCTTACTTCTGCTTTAGGAATAAAAACTGTAAACAGAATTTAAAAAACACCCCCAGAAGGAATCGCTTCCAAAGAATGCCATGTATGTCGTTACTGATAGCATACTTGGTTATTAAAAAGGTAGTCTGAGAAGAAACAGAAAACTCAAACCAGCTTAATCTGAAGTACTATGTTCTTTTTTCATAAGAATACAGAAAAGGGGGGAAAAAGAACACATTTATTTTTCACATTAAGTTTTACCATTCTTAATGTATATGTTCTATTAAAAAAGATCTACTTTCGCCTTTTAGAAAAAATACTACACTATAATGGATGATTAATTTCTTCAGGCTTATTTCACAATAACTGTTACAGTTTCCCTACACTTTGAGAAAATACAACATATAATCATGAAAAAGTCTTCATCTCAAAGATGTAAATTTACATAAATTATAGATTTAGAAAGTAAAAAGTTCTTAATAAAATTATAGTAAAAATAAATTCAAACCCCATTAAATGTTCTTTCTTCAAAGCCCATATGAAACTTTGAGAAACAAGTAGCAGATGATAATATATTTAACTAGCAGCTACAATATAGGAGAAATTGTGAAAATTTTTTTGGCAAACCTATTAGAGTGATTGACTAGTAACCTGCTAGAATTCTACTTGTTTTAAAACCAAAATAAAATTACTGTTTAATCAATTACAACACATGGAATGCAGATACACTTGGATCTACACAGACGCACCATACCCCCACATACACACTTTTGCACTAGTTCACAATTTAGTACTTAAGAATGATCATTAAAGGCAGGAAAAATGCTTCATTTTACCTACTTTGTAGTTTTAGAAGCCCACAGTGATTTTGCATTGCCAAAGTCATTTTTGGACTGAAAATATTGAGGCCATGACCTGAATAATCTTTCCATTAGGTGATAACATGCCTTTCCAGTTTATATAAAAGCACAGATAGAAATAAAATATGCCACAAAGAAATTATAGGACATTTGTACTTAAATAAGAAGTTTGTTTATTAAGACATTAATTGGTGAATCAATTTTTTGCATTTTCCATGCATACCTAAGTTCTTGCACTCCCTTCAAAAAGGAACGGATGAAGGAGAAAATAACTCCTTATAGTATTTGCTTTAAAAAAAAAAAAAAAAAAGATTTCTAGTAGGCCTTCTTGTTCACAAAACCTATTTAGAGGGTCAGACATCTTCCAGATAAACAAAAGAAACTTCACAAGCTTAAAGGGCCATTAAACTTACAGGAGCTGCAGGGAAGATGGATGAAAGCTCGAATGGTTCCTCTGAGATCCAATGGCCCAATTCCAAAGACCACAGAACCTAAAATAAATTAAGTGGTAAGTAGAACTCTCATAATTTCTAAAATAGCAAACTCTTTGAATGTCTAATTAGAAGTAACAGTGCAGTTGCAACAGTTGGTTTGATATTTCATTTACCCAAACCAAATGATTTGCTGAAAAATCAAGCAATCAGAAAGATACAAATTTTGCAACAGAAACAAACCATTAGAATACCAAAGTCATATTTCTATGCATAGCTACATTAAATTTTAAAACCTTGTGAGGATATTAGAAAAGTCAATTTTTTGCATCACGATACATAAAATTAGAGTAAAGATTTGAAAAGGGAAGTCCTACTATATCAGTTCTGTTCTCTTGGTTCAGTTAATCATTGAACTTCATAAGGATCCTGTTGGCCCATTTCTCCAGCCTGTCAAGGTCCCTCTGGGAACACCCATCTGGTCTATCAAACACTCCTCACAGTTTTGTAACATCCACAAACTTGCTGAGGGTGCACTCTTCCCCATCATCCAGATCATAAATGAAGATGATAAACAATATTGGACCAGTATCAACCCAGCTGGATGCCTTGGAGACTAGCAATCCTAGCGCTTTGGACTACTTGCAGACTTCTGTGCCCATCGAGGCCATCACAAAATGGTTAACAGAAAAAAAACTTACTTGAAATGGTTATATTTTCAGTTTCTGCAATACACTATATTTAGGGTTGGGGTTGTTTTTTTTTTTGGTAAAACTTTTCCAAAACTTCTCTATCCAGCATTTTTCCTGGGTTCATTTTCTAAACCATTCTTCAAAACAATTTATCATTGTAAGTCACAGCTGGTAGACTATAATACTAAAAGTCTCAAAAAGAGTGTTCAGAGACTATCCCTCAAGTGGCAAGAGCCTTGTTTTTGTGGGAAAATGGAAAAAGACTGATGTTCCTACCATGGCTCTGCCCTTGCGTCACATAAAGGGCATTTTCCTACTAATTTTTAGATAGTCTAAATTCTGAAGCACGCTCTGATGGA